AAGCAAAGAGGATGAACAAAAAGTTCTTGAGTTCTTATTAATTCTTGGATGATTGAATTTAACATGGGGGAAGGGCCTTTATATAGGCACAAGATTTGTCTAAGTCTAATCTACATAGGAAAATAATAAAGCAATAAAATATTAAGTATCCTAACCAGTCTAGATATTATAATGCAATAAGGAAACCAAATAGCTAGGGGATCAAATGCCTTGGCTTGCACTCCAAGTAGTCATGTCTTGCACTCCAAGTAGAAGACTTTCCAACCTCCTCCCTCTCTCTCTCACGCCACCTAGGTGTTCCTGCCGCCTCACGCCTCCTTGCCTTAGTCCTCGAGGACTAAGGTCGCGTCTCCTATTCCCGCCTATCCACTGGCCTCGAGGAGTAAGGTCTCGTGCCTTATGTATGCTATTCCTATTCCTTGAAGGATCAGACTTCGAGCCCATATCCACCTTGCCTATTCCTACTAGGAATATGCTCCCGGCTACGTTACCTGATCTTCCGAGGAATACTCCCGTCACTGATCCTTCACGCGCGTTCCGGCACTCAGCTGCTTTTCCTAGTCCCGCGGGGTCTAGGATTCGTGTCTTACCTATTCCTATGAGGATTAGGCTTGTCACCTCAGTTTTGACTTGTGCCTCGCGCGTGTCGCCTAGCGCGTCTACTCCTACTCGGTCAAGACCCATGCCTGCTTGCGCATCGCCTGTCTTGCCTAAGATTACTAGGCCTAGGTCTTCGCCTATCTCGCACGCGTCGCCAACTGCGCACTCGGCTCGCCCCTGCGCCATCTCTCCTTCGCCTGTTCCTACACAGCCTAGGCTTCGCGCGCCTGCGCACCACTCACTCCCCATCGCGCGCTCGCCCATCTGGTTACCCTGCTCTCGCGCGTCCTTGTCAACCGCATGGCTGCTGCCCACGCTCGATAACCCCGCGCGATTCCCGCGCGATTCCCGCGCGATTCCCGCGCCTGTCCACTGGACCGCGCGTCCCACTCAGTGCCCCAGCGCTCCGTTCACCTGCTGCGCGCCTACATGCGCCCATCGCTGTCCGCGTATCGTCCAACGCCCGATGCGTGCTCGTCCCTTTGCTGAAATCCCTCGTGCGCATTAACCTCCCGACATCCTCCCCCTGCGCACCTTTTCGCCCAATCTCCAAGCGCCACGCGCGTCTACGCCAATGCGCGTATTCACGCCCTTGTCTAATGCGCCCTTTCTTGCGCTCGATAGTCGCCCTCTTATGGACCTCCTTTTTTCGTGCCCTTGCATACCTCCATGTGCTCGATCCTTCTAGCCTTGATCTCTCGAGCCTCTTGCTCGACCTCCTACGCCATTGTGCACGTCGGCACCCTCGCATACGGGCTCGTGTACGTCTCCTAGGCCATGCAAGCCTTGT